AATAAATAAAGCCGGTCTCGCAGCCAGGCCACGAGACAGCGACACTTGGCATTCCAATATTTAGCCAAGTGTCGCGCCACACAAGCAACAAATAGGTATTACTGTGACACATATGATGCTAAGTAAGTAAATTTTGGATAGATTTTTTAAGATATAAATGTTGTATAGAGTTTTATTATCAATATAATTCTAATATTTCATTTATACAAATTTTATCATAACTTTTAATAAATATCCTATAACTAGATTCTATTTCTATCATTAAATTCGTTTTTAAAAGTTCTTTAAAATAAGATTCATTTATAATATATTTAATTTATTTTAAAAAATAGTGAATATGTAAAAATAAGTTCTAATCAGTAAAAATAATTTTAGTTTGCTAAAAATGCTTTCATTTCAGTAAAATAATTTAAGTTCAATAAAAATAATTTCAAGTCAATAATAACATGGATATTTATTTACAAATAAAACTACAAAAAGTAAACTATTATATAAATAAACAATATGATATTGTATGTTTAAATATTCTGCATTATAAAAAAGGATTATAGGACCGTATTTAACATTCAAACGAAAAAGCTTATCGTAAAATTTTATTAACAATTCGGGCATCGCCCAGGCACAAAACTAGTCACTAATATATAAAGCCGGTCTCGCAGCCAGGCCACAAGATATCGATACTTGGCATTTCTAGTTTTTCGCCAAGTGTCGAGCCACGTAGGCGATAAATATGTATTATTGTGACACATAGGATGCTAAGTAAGCGGATTTTGGATAGATTTTTTTAAGATAAAAATATTTTATAGTGTTTTATTATCGATATACTTCTAATATTTCATATAAACAAAATTAATTATAACTTTTAATAAATATCTTATACCTCATTACTAGGGGTGTACAAAAACTGGACCGGACCTGAAACCGGACCTGAACCGACCTGATCCGGACCGGACCTGACCCGGACCTGTTGATTCAGGTCCGGTCCCGGTCCTTAAAAATCAAGGTTCCCGGTTCCGGTCCGGACCCGGTCTAAACCCGGGGTTTTCAGGTCCGGACCTGAAACCCGGAAAAATTGTATTTTTTAAAAAAAAAAAAAAAAAAAAATTCAAAAATCAAAATTACGCTGCAACCCTAACAAACAGCTATCTGACTATCTCCATTCTCCAAGACTCCAATCTCCAAACTCCCTGGCTGTCTCCCCCTCTCCCTCACGCTCACTGTCTCCAGTCTCAGCCCAACGCGGCAACGCCCACCGCCGACACCTCCTGCCTTCCTCACTCTCTCAGGCGAAGCCCAGGCGCCCGCCGGCCACCGCATGAGACAGCTACTGCGCGATTTTCCATTTCTCCGGTAAGTTATTTTTGGGGTTTTTGGTGGTGAGATTCTAGAGCTTATCTTGAGATCTTGCTGGGCAACAAAAAAAGGAGAACTTTTTGAGCAGCAGAATAGCGAAGAACACCGAAGGAGGCTTGGTTGGGTTGTTCTCTGGGCTAGCGAAGCTGCTGCAAAGTAGCAGAGCAGCGGCGGTAAAGCAGTGCAGCAGCGGTGAAGCGAAGCAGCGGACGGAGAAGTCGAGGTGACTTAGCTGTGTTCTGTAATCCTTCATTTTCTACGGGAATTCAGAGGCTCTGCTTTGATTTTTCTGGGCTGGCAGAACAACGGATCTGTGAAGAAAACCACCTAAGTGAAACAGCAGCAGCGGTGAAGCCGTTTAGTTGGAGTGTCGTTCGTGGTTGCTCTTTCATTGATTTGGTATTCTGAATTTAATTGATTATTTACAACTTTTGCATGTAGAATTTCAATTAATGAGTACTTTGCTAAATTATCTAATTATGTTTGGGTATTTTGTATTCGAAATAATGAATTAAGGTTTTTTATTAAAAAAAAAAAAACGAAAAAATCACAAAACAGGTCCATTCAGGTCCAAACCTGGACCGGACCTGATTTTTCAGGTCTAGCCCGGAACCGGACCTGTTAATTCAGGTCCGGTCCCCGGTCCTCATAATTACCCAATTCAGGTCCCCGGTCCAAACAGGTCCGGTCCAGGTCCGGTCCGGTTTTGGACCGGTGTACACCCCTACTCATTACTATTTTCGTCATAAAATTCATTTTAAAAAGTTCTTTAAAATGAGATTCATTTATAATCAGTGGCGGATCTTGGACAAAAAGATTAAAGGGGCCGGGATTTAAATTTTTCACTCACGCTCAAAATTAATCACTATGTCCTAATATTTTATAAGTAAAATATGTTAATCTAAGTTCATTAACTAATTAATTGCAATAATTTACCGGGGGTCAGGCCCCAAATGTCCCCGGTGGAAGGTCCCTCTGTTTATAATATATTTTAATAAAAATAGAAAACCAGTAAAAATAACTTTTAATCAGAAAAAATAATTTTAGTTTGATAAAAATACTTTTAGTTCATTAGAAATAATTTAAGTGCAATAAAAAAAAATCAAGTTAATAATAACATAGATATCTAAATATTTTACATTATCAAAAGGAGTTATATGATTGTATTTGACATTCAAGCTAAAAAGTTTAGGACAATCCGGGCATCGCCCGAGCACAAAACTAGTTATTTGATATATTTAAATAAAAAATTTTATAAAAAAAAATTTCAAAATTTTCCCTCTTGATCTTGTAATATAAGAGGTACTGTAGCAACTTAACCTAATGGAATATTTAAGCATTTGACAAAAATTGTTGAAAAGTCTTACAGATTATTTATAGGCCATTAAGAATTAAAAAAAAGTTTATGTCACTATCGAGTTAAAGCATTATTTATGCCATAATGGTACTCCGTAATGATTTTTTTCAGGTAATTAATGACAATAGTGTTATACATTCCTCCTACATTAATAGTTTTATTCTACGTAACAATTTAGAAAATGTAAAACATTAGCCCTCTACCTCTCAAAAATGTATAGAAAAAAAATTGTAACTTTTGGTGTGCTATGCCAAAGTTGCCCTTTAGAAACATAGGCTACATAGCATTGCAAAAGTATAAATTATTGAATGCATTGTATATTTGTATTGGAATTCTTTGCGAGGGACCATGATACAGAAGCTAACTTGTCAAATTCATATCGCATTTAGCTTTTGAAAGTATCTTGTATAGTAGTGGAGACAAACAATATAAACATATTAGTTATGACTTTTCAATTTTATTCTCCTAAAAATATCATCAATTATTTAACTATAATGCATGTACATTTGCATTTACATTTAGGGCGATGAGTAATGCAGCAAACCACAAATCCAAATGCAAGTTGCTGACTTTGCTACATGAAATAGTAGTATAATGGTAATAGTGTCAAGAAAATAGGCCCATTAATAAAGAACTTAAAACTAGCTAGGAGAATAGGCAGGAAATGGTATATGTATATGTTTATACTTGAAGAAGTAAAATTCAAAGAATCAATTTTTTATTTTTTTGGTTAGGAAATTCAAAGAATCATTATTAAGTCCAAATGTGCATCATATTTCAACACATTATATGGTTTTTGTAAATAAAAAAGGCCATATTTATTTTACTACGTCAAAGTGTTTTATTTTGGTGATTATCAAGCATTAAATCAAGTCTTCGAAAATGAATTACCATTGTCTACATAACATAATTTTTTAAATGCCAAAATTAGAGTATACATACAAGCTACATCACTTAATTAAGAAATACACTCAATCAAATTATTAGTCTTTTTTCAGGGAATGGGGGAGGGAGAAAATTATAATATTGAATGACAGAGAATATATCAAAGGCCATATCCACAAAATCATGTGAAAGTAACTAATTATCATTAAGATATAAAGCTAGATTCCATTATGAAAACCAAACTCTACCTAAATGAATGGCTCATATGTATTGACTCAATATTAAACCCCTTGTAAAATTAAATTATAATAAATTAAATGTATATGAAATTCCAAATAAAAAGAAATCAACAACAGTACACAGTAGACCAGCAAGAAAATACAAAGTGTAATTATACTTATTTTTCTTTTATTTAGTATATTCTCTTCCATAGACTTCATCAATTAAACAAGAACTGTAGGCCCCACTTCATCATTTTGGTTCATTTCTTGCCTAAAAACCCAAAATTAATTAAATTTCAGGATATAATTATATATTTTCTCAGTTTCTTCGTGGTTGACAAATTTTGACTTTAAATTTTATTCACATATCTGAGTGCCAACATTTATTTACCTATAAATATTTATTTACATATTTTTCTTAGTTAATATTGTCAACATCTAAATTTGTAAAGTAAGGTTAAACCGAAAGAGCTCATCAATCATAACTAAGTATAGCGTGTGCATTGTGCGCTTTAGGTCATCTAGCCAAAACCCCTCACAAATCAAGCCGGCTCAAGTTAGCAGGCTAGACAATTTAGGAGAGTGTAGAGAATGTAATAGAATTTCATCCCCAAATTGTTACTAATGAGGATTGAACCTCAAGTATTTTCATTTCCACTAGACCAAGCTAAAGATTAATTTCATGATATGAATTATTAATGTGGAGGAAGTATATATGATTGTATAAATAGTGTATATTTATGTACTTACCGTTATCAAAACTTGAGCCGAATGCCAATAATTGAACACCTAATTAACCCATAACTTTCACTTAATAAGATTTTATTTTATAATATTAATATTACTCATAAATAATAGAGAAGTCACTATTAATAAAATTATTAGGATTGATAAGATCAAAGGACATGAAAATGAAATGAAACGAAAATAGTGGGTATATAAAAAAACAGAGCTAAGGTCGGTTCTTCTCATGACTTCCTTGCACAAAACGTATCTTCATTATTTTTTTTTCTTTCCTTTTAAAATTTCATCCTTTTTTTTTTATTTATTTTTCCAAAAAAACAAAATATTAAAATTAATTAATAAAATATTTAGGTTTGGTTCCGAAGCTTAGGGTTTAAAGAAAGGATAAGCACGACTCTTCTTCTCTCTGCTTTTATATAAAAACTTGATCCTACGCCATCTACCACCTTCTCCTTCTTTCATTATAATTAAAACCCTCTTCTCATTTTCTTTGCCTCCACTCTCTCTTTAACTCTTTCACTTCATTTCTCTCTCTAAAAAAAAAAACTCTCATTTTCTCTCTCCTAAACAAGAATTACAGAGTACTCTGTTTTTTTCCCCTGTTTTTCAAGCTGGCGATCGTTAATCAAGAATCTGCTGTTCGTGAGATTAAACCCAAGAATCGTAGAATCATGGTACATTTTTGTCCATTTTAATAATACCCTTTTGCGCAATTTCATTTTTATTCATCAATTTCATTATAAATGTAGGTTTTTTCTTTAATTTTTTTCGCTCATTTTTGTTTTTTGTATTGAAATTGTGAAAACAGGGTGCTGGGGGTCCAGAAGATGAAGATTTTACTCGATGGCCGCCATGGTTGAAACCTTTACTTCGTGAGAAGTTCTTTGTTCAATGCCAATTTCACGCTGATTCTCACAAAAGTGAATGTAATATGTATTGTTTGGACTGTATGAATGGCGCTCTCTGTTCACTCTGTCTCTCTCATCACCACGACCACCGTGCTATTCAGGTATAATTTATTCATTAAATTAACATTTAAAATTCCTAATCTCAGTTTTATCAATTGGGTTTTTCTGGGTTTTCATTAAAATGTTGTAAATAAATGGTGTTTTAAAATTTTAACGTATTTGGTGTTACATTTTGCAATTTGGGGTTTCCCTGTTTTATACTCAATTGAAGAAAAAAAAATGTAATTTCTTTAAAATTTTGAGTTCTGATTTCTGGGTTTTTGTGGATTGTCCATTATCAAAAATGGGTATCTGATAATTCCTCTGCAAATTAATAAAAAAAAAAAAAAATCCCTAATTTTCAACTGGGTTTTTTTCTGGAACATTGCATTTCGTGTGATAGTTTCAACAATTGTAACATTCTAAGGTATGACATTTAATAAATAAGACTAGTTCAATTTATTTCATCCAAATTTGTGCATTTTACTTTACCAAAAATAGGACTTTTTGGGTACAAACATTAAACTTTTCTCACATTTTAATCAAAGTAACTTTCTTGCTCTCCAAGCATTTACTCTGCAAATTTTCGTCAGTTTTTCTTGCTTACCCTCAACAAATAATGTTGACTTGTACTACTGTGGTTGGCTGCTCTGCCACCAAATATTCTCTCTCCTCTATAATTTATTTTTCTTAATTTAATTATTTATTTTTTTTAATTAATTTTACAGATTCGAAGGTCTTCATATCATGATGTGATTCGAGTGTCTGAAATTCAGAAAGTGTTGGATATAAGTGGAGTTCAGACGTACATTATCAACAGTGCTAGAGTTGTGTTCCTAAATGAAAGGCCACAACCTAGGCCTGGTAAAGGTGTCACCAACACATGCCAAGTTTGTGAACGCAGCCTTCTTGATTCCTTCCGTTTTTGCTCTCTTGGTTGTAAGGTAATTTTTATTATTCACATTGCTAATTACTCGTATTAATTAATCGCATTCATGTACATTATCTGTGCAATGCCGAAATTGAATTATTAGTTGTTGAATTGGATTAAAAACTCGTGTTATTGGTTTTTAAGGGTCCGAACCTAATTATGTACCTTGGTATGCCTACAATGGGTGTGGTTAATGAATGACTTTGGTATTGTATCATTGTGGATTTTATTGGTTTAATTAATTTTAAATGTTGACAATCTTTGTTGATTTGAAATGTGAACGGACTAAATCAATTTTGATACTCTAAAGCATTTTGAAATGGGGTTTCTTGGTTTTGATTTATTCAATAAAATTGATTGATTTTGCTACTTTTTATAATGGGTATTGTCTAGTCTTGATATGGAAAATGCACCAATATTGCATCATGAGATTTGATTTCTTTGCTTGTATAAATTTTAGTTTTAATTTTTATAATTTGATAAAAGCAATGGTTTTGATTGTGGATTTTTTTTTTTATTGTCAACAGATTGTGGGAACTTCAAAGAATTTCCAGAAGAATAAGAAAATCAAACGGGCAATGGGGTCAGATTCTGAGGACTCGTGTAGCACGACGAGCACGACCACGAGCCACCACCACTCCCCCCGCCGTGGTAGAAATGAGATGATGATGGACAGCCACAACAACTACAACAACTACAACAACAACAACAAAGTGGTGCAAAGTTTTAGTCCATCAACACCACCTCCAACAGCAGCTAGTTACAGGACAGCCAAGCGAAGAAAGGGTATTCCACATAGAGCTCCTTTTGGTGGACTAATAATAGAATATTAAAACTAGCTTTTAAGTCCTTAGTCTCTAAGATAATTACTCTATATATCCCTTTTTTATACTTGAACTAGTTTTTCCATAGTGGTCCACATTCCTAACGCATTGTGCTTTTTAAAAGCCAGTGTTAGGTGATCTTATAAAATCACCCCCCTTCTCTATATGTATATATAACAATGATGCAATAGAAAGTTGGAAATATATGGATAGAAATGCAAATAAATAAGAAGGAAAAAAAAATAAAAAAATTAAGTACTTGTGTGTAAAGAAAATAGGTGCAAATGTGCAATGGTAATAAAAGTTGGGTAGAAAATTGTAAACTACTATATAGGTATTGCAAATTAGTATGCCTGTTTTATTTTTAGCTTATATGGTGGAAAGTTAGGAAGAAATGTACATATTTTTGTTGTTTTTGTCTTGAAAAAGATGGGAAATATGTACTTATCTATATGTTGCTTGTATATACATGGAATTATGGAAAATATTGAATTTCTCTCTTTATGTTTTGATTAGTCTTTTAGTGACTAATAATCCTTCCGTTTAGTAATAATAGTTAAACATTCGATTTTATATTTTTCGAACTTTGATAATAATATATTAATCACTTATTTGATGTAAATATCACCGTATGTGTCATAATGTGTACATCTTTCATATATTGGTGATCAAAGTTTGTGAAGTTGACTAATAGTCAATATTGGATTAGTTTAAAGCGAGATAATAAATATCTTGGAAATGGTACTCATTGTCCTATCCAAATAATGGTGGGGTCCATGGTGGCTGACTCGTGGAATGTGTGAAGGGGTACGTGGCAAGTGTTGATTGGGAAGATGGTAAAGTTAAGTGTGTCTTGATTCGTGGAATTCGGGAACTTAATTAAGGTCGACCGCCTTGAGCAGCCAATTAATAATAGTGGTAAATTTGGTATCTATATTATGGGCCGTTAATTGGGCTTTTTTCTTTTTACCATTCACACTGGGCCCACTCTTAAGATGTTTAATCGAGAAGGAATGCGATGGAGTACTTATCCTTCCAATTTCATTTATGGCTAGTGGGATTTTTTTTTTTTTTTTTTTTTTTGTACATGTTGCAACTTGCTATCCGTATTTCGTTAGTGCTAGTTAATTTCGTTACAAATCACTTTCCATTTTGCCAAATTACTATTGACAATGACATGTGGATGTACCAATCAATTGGTTGTTGGTGCAATGTTGATTGGGAGTTGGGACTGCATTTGATAGAGAGGACCCGTATTTGATTCCCCACAACAGCAATTGGGAGAGATTTGGAACCTAATCACCCAAAACTAATCCCCCGAATCAGAATCAGCCCAAAGGGTGAATCGGGTGGAACACCAAAAAAATAAAAAAATGTCAATGTACCAATTGGTATGTTTGTAATTCACTCGATCGATCTCTTGATTGGTTGTTGGTTAAATTATTTGGTTTATCCGTAGGTATGTGTTTGAATAATCTGAGAATAATTTAGAGGACACTTTAATGATTTTGCTCGTTTATTTCATTTTCACTACATAACCTAAGCATGTTTGACAAAGTTTTTACGGTTCACTTGATGATACTAAAGTGTGTCATGTTAAGTTGAATGTCTCATCTTAGCGTCAAAACTTGTATTTAATTGATTTCTTAGGAGAGTCGAGGATATTGAATTGCATACACAACTAGTACAAAATATTCACATTAAACATGTACAAAATATTTGGAAGATTTAGAAGAATCTTTGACTGATAACAATATTGACGTGGGCCGTCATGCTAAATTGCTATTTACCCATGGTAGTAAAATCACGACCGTGTGATAAGATCACCATTGACCTGAAATAGAAGTTGAAGGTCATACTTTGTTTGCACCCATCTAAATTTAGAAATTCAAAAGATATTTATTGCGCACATGAAGAAGGTGGTTGATGTTGTCAAAGGATTGTTTTGTTTTAGCATCTTCAATGCTTGTGATTCTTTGGATATGGTCGAAATTGGTAAGTTTGGCAAAACATTAGTTGATTTTAGTGGATTAAAGTTTGATTAAATCAAATCTCTAGTGCTTATTTTTGGTAATTTGTCTATTAGAAAAGAGGCGTGGAAATTTGAGATCAATTTTTAAGTTCTATTAGAGTTAAAATTTGAGTTTTTTTCATGACAAATGATTGTGAAATTGAAACTTAAAAGCAATTTTATCATATTATTGTCAATTGGACTTACTTGCCAAAAGTGAATAAGAATAGACAAATAAGTTAGTAATATATTTTATGTTATGTTACTTACGCAATCATATAACCAATAATAATTTTTCTAGACAGACAAAAGAGAGCAAACAATTCATATATATTTAGACTCCTTACTAGTCTCCCATCTTGTCGCCTAATTAATAACCGTATTTTTACTCCTGTTTACGTAAGTTCCAAAAAATATAAGCTTTATATGAATAAAATTTTATTGCTAGATATTATACTTTTAAATTTCGAATTTTACAGATTTAAGTGTTGAGGATGAGAAACAATAAAGTGGATTAGTTACAATTAAACGATTCCTACATGTACGGTACACCTTCAACTAGAAATTAAAAATAGAGACTTAAGTGACAATGACAAAAACTCATAATTGTAAGGTGAGCTTGGCCTTTATATTTTGTCACTTAGCCTTAATAATGCATGACCCACTATACCTATGAAATGTATTATTAAGAGCTCACTTCTTAGAAAGTGCTAATACACCACAAAAAACAAAATATGAAAATTAAAAATAATTAAATAAAATAACAAAATTAAAACAACAGATAAAAAATCCTTGTCGACTTGAGGATTCTAGTGGGTTCACCCAAATGACACGATTAAGACCCAAATGTTGAATTGGATTTATGCCATCTCTAATATTTATATCTTTATTTATATTCTTCTTTATAATTGAAAAAAAGGTTGAATGACACGTAAACCGAATTTCATACCCTACAACTTTTTTTTTTTTGAATTTTATTTTCTCCTTTTAATTTGGATTATAATTGGTATATACGAAGTAATATCTTTTCATTTCATTTAAGGAGTACATGATTTTTAGCGTAAGTGAAGGAGGTTGAGCCATGTGGGAACCAAATTCTAGGATGAGTGTACTAGCTTATTTATGCTTTTGGTAGCATTTCAATTTTGCAATGCTATCCTTATATATGTTTATTAGTCGTCTCGATTCATCAATCACTAGTATTGTCATTCAAATACCGACCCTTTTAATTTGTCCACTATACATGTCAATTTTACATTATTCTCTCTTAAAAGTGTTATATATATATATATATATATATATATATATATATATATATATATATATATATATATATATATATATATATATGTTTCTCTTTAACTTCAACTTAAAGTTACAAAGTAAACCACAATTCTATTAGGGTAATATTAAACTAATAATTAAGTCAACTATTGAATGTTAAAATTTGTACTTGCTATCTTATTATTAACGATGCTATTCACTAATATTTTAGAGACAAATTCTTTTTATTTTTTAATAAACATATAATGCAATGGACATGTAAAAGTATGATCAACAAAATATAATTTGAGCTTAGATTATTATTATGGAGTAAACTAAACCTTGTCAAATATATTCTGTTCGAATTATAATTATTTTGTTAATAATAAATTTAAAGCTTTTTAATTTGTGCTCCGTATCTGTATATAATCATTAAGATCAGGATTACTTTTTCCTTTTGTGTATTTGTTTATGAAATTATGATTTTCCTATTCTCTTGGGTAAAAATATGAGCCTTGCACAATTTGTCCCTACACATATACGAAATATTTCTAAAAAATATCTTCCTATGTGTATGGAATCTAGACTCTTAAGTGCATGCTCTATCATCCTTCCTCTTTCATTTTCTTTAGTCTTTACCTTCAATGCTATGAGTACAAAATATAGGATCCAATCCCATCAATTTGGTCTTAGTCTGTTACTTGTTTTTACATAATAAATTTAGCGTACCTATAATATTAGGCGCATATATATATATTTGATAACTTAGCCTTTACGATATGCTAATGAAGTAGGATGACTCTTAAAAGTTAAAACCAATATAAACAAATACATACTAGCCTTTACGATATGCTAATTAAGTAGGATGACTCTTAAAACCAATATAAACAAATACATAGTGAATAAATACTACGTATAGAATATATTTTAGTTGCATCTAAAACACAAGTGTTCTTACATGTAGTGGTCGGTATTAGATAGAAATTGAGGGTTTTATTCAATTGCATTCAACTTATTATACTTCGATTTGGAAAAAAGAGTGTTGAATTAGGAATGAACCTTAAACCTATTAGAACATGTCTGATACTTATTTGACTCGCGATACACCAAGTACATGATGTGTAAACATTGTTTGTGTACGCTAATGATTATTGTAATTCCAACTTTCTATTCAAAGCATTATGCAAATTAATTCATTTAGGAGAATCATAATGTAAAAAATATGCAAGTATAATGAAAAGAACATTAAGCAGAATCATAATGCATATCATTCTTCCCATATGTAATAATTCAAGACTTAATAGCAAATCTATAATATTCTCATATTTATAGGGAGTAATTAATAGTAGTTGGACTAAACAAGTAAATTAAAAAAAAAAACTATTACAATATCAAATTACACACTTTAATTATTCTTGTACAAAAAGGTGAATGCATAGGCGATCGCAGAAGCTGCAGCCATGCTGTTAGTGGGCTATGTATAACCAAAATTATTTCTACTAAAAGCAATTAAATTATTAAGAAAGATATTTCTAATTTTTATAAAAATACTAAAAGCTTAAAAATATGCATCCTTTTATTCCCCTTAAAGATGCAATATGCATCATCCATCCCCTTCACAAAAGCTTCATGATTGATTGGACCTTTTATATATATAGTTAATTTATACACCATACCATATAGTATATTAAATATTTGCATAATATAATTAATATTATGTAGTTGGCGTATTATCATGTCATGCTTCTTTATAATTGTGTAACAAATTGGACCTTCACTTAAATTAAAAACATTCATTCATAATTAAAGAAAAGGACCCCACTAAAATGCAAGGTTTCAACTTTCAATTGAATAAAAGTCCCAACTACATCAACTTGCTTGCCTTAGCCATGATGTCAGTCAATTTATTTAGTTTCTGTCTTTTTCTTTTCTATTCTATTATTATTGAAAAAAGATTGTTTTTTTTTTGAAGGTTTTTCTTAGTGATAATATTCATAAATAAAGAAGCTTCATTTTGTTTGTTCATGCCTACACCATGCTGATGATGTATTCATTTTTCACCTTTGAAATTGAAATAATGGAGGTCGGCTAGATGATATCTACGGGTTGTGTCACTTGTGACTTGTGAGTATATATAGCAACATACTTGAAGCTAGGCCGTTAGTGTAATTATTTCGATGACACCGGTCGATAAAAAAAAATTGCACATTAATTGACTTGTATATGTGAATATGATTTTAAATAATAAATCGTGACGTATTATTTTAGTCCCTTAATAAGAAATTATCTCATTGTCTTTAAAAAGAAAAAAATAAAAATAAAATTGCGACACATACACTGTCGAAGCACAACTATTAAATGATCGAAGAAATTTAAATCAATTAATATGTACTTCGTAAAATTAAATAAATATTCTTCCAATAATACTCAAATTGTCGAATCTACAATTTAAAAAAGTAATATATGAACTAATTGAACATAGAGCAATGAGCCATAATAATAATATTAATAATGTGATTTAATCAAATGGTAAGAGAGTAGATTGCAAAATGCATAGTTACCTATCGTGCGTGGGACAATTTGACAGTTTAATTTGTGCAAATGATGAAGTAGCACCACTTTAAATTAATTAAAAATATGCATGCCATTTGCTCCATAATTCCTTAAAAATATAAACAATAATACACGTGATTACTTTACCTTAGTTAAGTTAATTATTACCTACGTATGTATGATAGTAATTTCATTGTATTGAACGATACTCGGCTTAATAGATGACATACAATGGATCTTGGTGTGTTCACTACTCTTTAGTGATGTCAAGTGAGCTTGCATGTACATGACGATCGATCTTCTATCTCTAAGACATTATGTGAGCAGATTTGATATCATTTCGATCATAATGAATAGCGAACTAACTTCGATATTTTATACGAGTTATTATTATATATTTTTCCTCAAAATAATAAATAACGACATTTCAATCCAAGATGTAATTAGACACCATATAAAAGTAGACAAAAGATATATAAACTTTAGAAGGAATTGAAGAACTATATGGTTGGAGGAGGGCCATTCATAAATAATAAAGTGATACTCCGATATACGGAGTAGTATTTAAATTGTTTTTTAATGCACCAGGAATCTACTTTACCATATCTACAGGTGAACAAAAATGCAGCATATAATTCATCAAATAGATTATAATTGAAATACTGTCTCTAATGAATTAAGGCCCCTTTATAATATTAATTAAAAATATAGATAAAAAAGTTGGTGGGTAGGGGAGAAAAAATGCCAAAAAAGCAGCAATGTTCCAAGTAGTCTATGACATTTAAGATTATGTTCTGATATTAATTAATTAATTATCATTAAGAGTAGCAAATTATTCAACCTTAGCTAACTTGATACAACATTATCCTAAATTATTAAATGAAAAAAAAATGTTTCCACCTAATATTTTGGTTTGGATAGAAACGGTTCATAGTTGATGAAATGGCATAAATGAGTTGTCAACTCAAAATTCATTAATTTGACTTTTATATTATCATGTTAGAATTATATATGTGGTTAGGGTAAAATCTGACGGCTGAATGTGTACTTACAGGAATATGGTTGGGAGAGGAACAGCTACTGTTATTTGCTTTGTTTTGGTGAGTATATGTCCATGTTTTTCGTTAGGTATTGTGAGTTTGTTAACTATACATATCGTCATCGATGTCATATCATATGCATCATATTCTTCTATATGATTTTATTGAATCAATACAATGTATCATATATGTACTAATCCGTCAATTAAATAATACACGATGTATATTACGGAGTACTATAAACGATCGACTAATAGTTATATCGAATTGTATCATTTATGGATAACATTTCAGGGTTTATAGCAATACAATCCAATTGAGTTTAGCCGTTGACATTACTCCTTGTGCAATTTTTTTGTAACACAATTTGACAGTAACCGTTGACCTTACTGGTGCTTGCAGGTGGAAGATATAGTCTGTATTGAATATGTAGCGTTGACTGAGGCAATACATTAACTAAAGCCAAATAGAAAGGACGAGTTGACTTATTCTGTTATTCATGGTGGAATAAATTGAATAGAGATAAGTGCGAAGTCATTAATTAAAGTCTAACCATTTCCGATAAATGAAATTTGCAGCATTATGGTTGATGCTCCCAAATACAAAGAATTATGCATCATTTCAAGAAATCCATTAGTTACTAGACTTAAGTTGTTCTAGGCTAAGCTACATTGAGTACGAAAACCAATGTCTTTGATTTATTATCCGTTCCAAATTAATGGTTACACTTTCCAATTCCCATGGAATTGGGGATTCTGGTCAAAATGTTTCAACCCCCAAACATGGAACACAAATTTGGTTAAGTAGGGTAACTCATGATAAATAATGTGGCCCATTATATGTGAAGAGGCCTCAAGCTCATTGGGCCAGATTAAAATCCCACGCTAAAAGCTCAGAGAGTAATGGCTACAAACAGAGTAATGTTGACTTTGTGCCAGGCCCAAAGACAGACAGGCTCAGCTTGTGAATTTGTTGAGGAGTAGTAAATAGGCAGGTTTGTATTTGCTTATTTTAGAAATAATCATAGCAAATTCCATCAAATCCTATCTTAAGTTTTTATTTGTGTTTATATATCATTAAATATTTTTAATTTCATATATACTTTTTCTGTTCTATTTATCTCCCCAATTTGACTGGGACAATTGTTAATGGTGCCTTTAATTATCAATGTGTATACGTTATAAAAAGTTTATATTTTTGTAAAAAAATAACCAACATAACTATGTAACTATGTTTACCTTATGTGTAAAGCACAAATATCAGTTAATGTGATGTATGTGTATAGTGTGATGCGTTTGGTTTAGTAGCCAGGCTAACAAACTAGATCCGACTAGCTAAGTGGCTAGTTTTATGAGCCTCTCCTTTAATTGGTTGGATTAGAGTAGCTTCATGCCTTCATGTACTTTTTTGCTCAAAATTAGTAACATTGCACTACATTACTCGTAAAAGAATACATGTGCATGTGTAAATGTATAATAATGCATACCATGTCCTCAAATTTTCTTAACGTTGTACAATAATTAGATAAGAGTCGTGTTTTCCTGGATGTAGTTTGCTACTTATATAGTTTTGTGTGTAAGTAGCAATTTCAACTTTAGAGCTAAATTCTCTAATGGTAACATATTAACATCATATAATAAGAACATATAGCTTAAAAAAACATTTGTTATCATCGAAGCATGTTCACCTTTAGGCGCCCCCCCCCCCCCCCCGCAAATTTCGTTATAGAGATAATCACCATTCTTTCAAAAAGTTTTCTTCTCAGTCTCCCATAAAACCCCACCACAAGAAAAGAATATTACACTTCTCCCACAAAATCTACGCAAATCTAAAACAAATACAATTAAAATTACAAATTTGAATGAAATTACAAGAAAACCATATCAAACAAACCATGATGTAGCTTAAACTAAACATAATATGTCCAATTAATCTTAATATAAAGCAAAGGTTTAGGTCACATATCTTACTATGTATAACCTTGCTTATATTTTCGGAAAATCTCTTCTGTTTTGGCATTCCTAAAAGCACAACAACCAATAAGATAAACACAAATAAGCGCGAATAGTGTAACGATTAAGATGATATTAGCCTTCCTCCATTGCCTTGCAATACTAGCAAGTAAACCAGCTTTACAAGATTCACAAGAGTAGCAAAGTTGGGTTTGGTCATTGTTCCATGCTAAGCAATCCATGTCAGCAGCAGTGTCAATTGGGCTTATCCAAAATGTTGGGTTTATGAATGTGTAACCACATGCTGTTGGTGGCTTGCAACATCCTGTCTGTATAACATAAAGTTTGGAATAACATCAGTGCTAAGTAAAGAATAAATTGTATTTGGGTAATTAATTAAGATTTCATTTATATATTGTAATACAATGTGTTAATGTGCATAGATTCTTATATAATGACATGAGAATTTGAGAAGTACTATGTAATAATATGTATGCAATGGGTTGGGGAATCTTCTGCCTTTTCTGCTTTTTAAAGATCTGTGTTTATAAATCATAGTGTTCTTAGCTTAAGGAGCTTAATTTGTCATTAGCATGCCTGACAGGTACTTTGTCCCCTGTATAAAGCTAATACAAATGTTTAATTTTCGTGAGCAATTAGCGATTATTATGTGATGATATATTTACTTACGACGATAGAGAGTTTGACCACATATAAGTCCAACAAGGTTACATTTTAAATGTGGAACCACTAATCGCAACACACATTTAGGTTATACTTCTAAAATAGAGCTTACATTGTCACTTACTTATCTCATATAATGGCTTAAAGTGTTTACTAATGCCTCTTTTTTCCCCAAAATTAACTCTTAAGTAATTTTCAAGATTAAGAAGAAACTAAAATAAAGGCTTTTCTTAAAGACGTTAATTTCTCAACTTTTGTATGGCTTGTAACAGGTTTAAAGTCATCACCACAACAATACATACAAAAGGTCAGATCTAAGTCACATTGGGGAAAAAAAAAAAAAAAAACTCGAGATATTAATCAAGATTAAGAACTCAAAAATGCAACATATATATCTTCATAATCAAGCATCAACAAATATTCTATGCATGCTTTCTTAACATATATGTTAATTAATTCTTCATGTCCACCTATATTAAGCTAGCTAATCATATAATTAACAAACTAAACACATGTAGTAGTAGTAATAATAATAGATATTTTAAGAAAAAAACTAGACATTGTGTTAAATAAAATTACCTGTATAGGAGAAAGAGGAGCATTGAAGAAATCTTGAGCCGTGGTATAAGTTTGGTTCAACTCAGGACAAACGCTAGTAGAGCTTAAACAATTCTTAATCACGGCCCATTTAAACGGTCCATGGACTCTCCGTCGAAGAAAACCGGAAAAACTATCGATGCGATACTCTAAGTAAGCCCGGCTAGGGGCCGGGTGACCGGACCCTCTAGAGGTAACCATGAACACAAAAACAACCAAAGAAGCTAACAAAATAATCATAATAAGCATACCAATAAGGTAAAAAATAAGTAAAGGAGCGTTACGCCAAAACCCGCCAACGAAACCGGCTAGGGCAACAATTAAGGTCAATGCACCTATAATAATAACCGGCCATTGTAAAATCTTGATACATGAATTTTCAGGATCACTAGCTAGCCATATACCGGTACCGATAATCGGTATTGCAAGGAGTATGCCTAGGAAGTTTATGGCTCCTATGACATTGTTGCTTAAGGCCATTTTATTATTGGTAAGATGTTTGAAAGGATTTGATTTTGTTGTGGAATAAAAATGGGGTGTTAATGTGTTATGAGGAGCTTTTTGGGTGCATGAGAATAGAAGCTTAGGTAATGTGTAAAAGGTTTGTGTTTGGGAATAAAAAGTCCAAGTATAATTGGATTTGATGTGCTTTTTGAAATTGAGATGAGCTTTTGTTCTTTATTGCCAGATTAAAGGGTTGAGATATGATGCCCTTTATTGTCCTCGAGATTGGAAACTTTGGAGCCCAGTTTATGAAGGAAATAGTGTTGTGTATTGGGGTCTACTCTAGCTAGGACTTAAGAGTACGACAAGATAGTAATGGGCTTCTTGGTTCTTCTTGTTTTGGATCACCTAGCAATCTGGCAAATGCTAGTTTGCAACCCATCTGTCAAGGATCTTGAGTACCCCGAATTAAAAAAAACTTGTGTATGCTTATTATTGGTTTGCTCGGGTTTATAATTAAAAATGCGTTTTGCATAAACTCATACTTTTTCCGGGTTGAGTCAGGTTGAGGCAGTGGATCAAGTTATTGATGATCCCTCTATTTCAAACTTTAAAGGGATAACAAAATTTTTTTATTTAATAAAAAAAGTATATAGTGTAATCACTATAATGATGATAGTAAGTCAATTGAGCATATTATTACACTTTTGCAACTGTCTCATCAATATTAGTGATATTTGCCCTCAAATCTTAACAAATGGAAAGATTATTTGTCAAAACATCTCAATTAGATTTTTTGAGTTAAAAACCAACTAACACGAGAACCTTATTTGCCCAAACCTAGGTCAAACCAAATAGAAATTAAACTCATAAACTAATTCGAGTGAGTTTGACTAGTTAAATATGCTATTAATATAACTTAAGAGTCTAAATCAACTCCGTATAATAACAAACATAATAAAAAACATACGTAGTAACACAAATGAAATGAAGATGTCAAATTTCACAAAAAATTTGTATCACAAATGCTTTGTATCGACTATACAATTTTAATCAAAGCAAGCTTATTGACTCAGACCCTTTCAACCATTTTGACATATCTATTCTATTTTAAAGACTTAAAGAGTACAAATGTACATTCGTTGAAACTTTTATCAATTGGACCTACTGAATTTTTTGTCTTGTGTGCAGCTGTATTAAGAACCACCCTTTTATCCAAACTTATGTGTCTCTTTGTAAGAAAAAAAAATCCTCCCTTAAAACAAGTAAACGCCGCGTTTAAAAGCAATTGAATTCCTAGGACTTGTTCTCTTCACCTAAAACAAGGAGATTTGGTCTGATTTTTATAAGGTCTGAGGTCTTATCTGAATTTTTATTAACTGATCTGATCTAATCTAATAATTTGACTAAACTTTGACCGCATTTTTATACTAATCTATAAAGAAAAACATCATTAAAATAGATCTTGTTATATTCGTCTCATTATGAACTTTTCAAATATGTAATTTTCATAATTTTTTGTAATACGCAATTAACGATATTTAGTGATAAGTAAATTATAATTAAAAGTTCTAATTTGATCTGAATATCTCTGATCTGATCTAAATTTATTAAAAAATAAAATAAGTATCTGAAACAAGTAGGAGAGAACCTGCCCCTAATAAATCTATGCGTTGCATTTTAATGACTACGACTCTATGAGCCAACAAAAATTTAGGAGAAGAAACACATCAAAAATCCAGGAGTTAAGGAAAAAAAAATAAAAAAATGAAGGTAGGATTATCAATGGAAGCAAGAGTAGCAACAACCTCTATCCTCTTCTCTCATCTCCACACTTCACTCCCTTCTCCCACTCTCTCTAAACTTCCATTCTTATCTAAATCTTCATCACCTTCTCAATTTCATCTTCGCATTTCCAATTCTACCCTTTCTTCTCCTCTTAAATTCCCCCTTTACCCCTCAAATACCCCCTTTACCAGGCCAAACTTTGAACTACAATCTGCAGTTGAAGCATTAGAGGAAATTCCCAATGAAACCCAGGATAATAATGTTCAAAAGAGGAAACTTTATGTGGTCAATTTGCCCTTTTCTCTGTCTTCTGATGATTTGAAGAAGGTGTTTAGTGAGTGTGGTACTGTCAAGGATGTTGAGGTAATTTCTTAATTTAGGGTCTGTTGAGAGTCGTAAAAGGCAGTGATGTAGACGGGGTTTGATTTTGGGTATTGTTTTATTTCTGATTTTTGACTCTGTTTGATGTTTTTTTCTTTGTTGGAAATTGTTTTAGTTGATTAGAAATAAAGATGGGAAGAACAGAGGATATGCATTTGTTACAATGGATTCCGGAGATGAAGCTCAGGTTGTTATTGATAAATTTCACTCCAAGGTATAAATTTTCTTGGGTTGAATTTTGTTAGTTTGTTACTTTGTTTAGAATTATGTATTGAATTTTTTGGTAGAATTGAAAAGAAAATTAAAACAATTGAAGTATGAAATTATTGCAATTGTGTAAGATTGGCACCAAAAAAGGGGTGGGAGGAAGAAGAAATATAGGGTGTGTAAGGGTTCCTATACATTCTTACACAATCTGGTGGGCGTTTGGTGTGTGGGAATGCGAATTTGAGGATTAGAGAATGTTTACTAGTAAGGTTTTAGTTGCATACATTATCCCCTGAGTGCGACCTTATGCCGGATAACTGGGTGTTGATAAATGATGATATTGTTGCTATAATGCTTGACGAGCAGAATTTAATATCACTGACATATAGGACATGAAGATGAGAAGATTATAGTTCTTGGAGTAATAGTATGGTGACCCATAATTAACAAGTGCAATATCTAGGTGATGAATTGTATAAAGTGTAAGTTGTGGAGATAATGGAGGAAGATATTGATTCTTTAAGAGGGAGCTCAAGCTCATGCTCCACACAACTTAAGAGCTTACAAGTTACAACTTTGCCTACCTATATGCACATTGTGTGTGTTTTACATGAAGTGGTAGGACTTATGTAAATTTCTACAAATACAGTTCTTCCATTTGGTTGTTCTGTACACGTGTGCATTGTTGAATATATTACGAAGTATTTTATATTTCTTGTTCTACCCCAAGTTCAGGAAGCATTCATGCATTCTTTACTTCAGTTCAGTCTTGAGACCACTTTTAATTGCAAAATATCTTCTCCACCTGTTTGCCTCTTCATTTCACTGACATCTCATGTCTAGTTTTTAGACATTAAATCTACAAAAGGAATTGAGTCGAGAATAAGTGCCAGATTGCAAGTGTGAACCTAGCCTTTTCCTAGATATTGTTCAAAAAATTACAATTAACTCCTTTGGTATGAGAATGATTATGTTTGAAGTCCAAGTCAGGAACTGAGGATGTTTTGTCAAGTGTGAATAGTCTAGTTATGTCATAGTATGATATGATGCCATGTTTTTTGCAATACTTTCATATGCACTTGGACTTCTTACGTACTAGGTTATTAAATTTTGTGAAAATAGTACGTAGTGTATGGATAAAAAGATAAATGAAATCCGTCATACAATAAATTGCTTCCATATTTGAATGGAAAGGTTGGGTAAAGTTTATTTTTCGTGACCAGTTGATTGTTGTGCAGTTACTAATTATTGAGGTTGCTGAATAAGGTTATTTTTAGAGTTTAGTTGACTTGCTCTGAGTTGGTTCAAGCAGCCTTTTATGCTGTTAAATACTCAACAATTATCCATGACCAATTGTGATTTACTAATTGTATTCAGAGATTTTAGTGTTAAATAATAAGTCCTGGATGACAGCTTTATGTGGTACCAGTGTTAATATAATCAGCTGCAACTCTGCTAGGGAAGCTAATAGGGGGCAGAGGGGAATCTGTGGATAATGTGGTTATATGCAGCATTATTGTCTGAAAGTCCTTTCTCACATACACAATTTTTTCGGTCAAAAAATAGGTCTAGTCTCTGATAAATTAAACGCAATAACATCTTATGGTAAGGTCGAAGAATTGCTACAGAAAATTTTCAGGAATGATCTAGTAGGTTTATATGTGTTCTATGTCAACCTAATATTCCATTGTTCATTCTGTGGGAGTATGGTCGAAGAGGGCAGACTTGAGTCCTAGAAAATGAATCTTTTTGCTACACAGGTTTTTTTTTTTTTTTTTTTATATTTTTTTTATTTTTTTTTTTTAATTTTAAATCTCTTTTTATGCATAAACTATTTCTGCATGTGAGTGCTTAGGCTTAAACGCCACAGCCAGACTGATTTTAAGGACTTAGCTATAGGTGGATCCTAGATTTCTGTCCATCTAAGGTACAGAAATGCAATGCTTTCTTTTGCAAATTGCTGCTGGGTGCTGCACTGAAGATCTTTGAACCTCAGATTTCTCTTTTTCCAATTTTCATATTAAGTATTGTACCAGGAAATGATCTGCTATTGTCATTTCAGAAAACTCTATCATCTTGTTTTGTGCAACGAGATTGTTGTTTTTGCTGTGGCTGTATAATTAATTTGGTTTTTCTCAATCCTCTGCACAGAAGTAAGATGTGGGAATGTGGGATTGATAGGCTAATATCAGGGTGTTGTGTACCAATGCATTCATAATTTTGGCAATGTGTTTTTTATTGTTTCTCAATCGTTCATCGAAAGTATTATTGTCAATCAACTCCTTATGTTTGGCCAGTAAGAGTTTACGACCTATTGAACTTAATATATCTGTATTTTCTAGTATGGCTCACTTTGATTAAATTTATAACTACTCAAGCTATCCTGGTTATATAAAAAGAATGATAACTTTTTCTTTGGAATCTAGCTGCTTTTGTCAACTGGCTATATGGCTGTTGGTCTTGGAAGTGGCTATACATGCTGTCAGCATTAGAAATTGTTTTCAAGAGATTATTTACCAATAGGACAGAAATTTAATCAGGTCCTATTACAAATAAATAATAAAGCTTGATTCATATTCATTGCAATAAAATGGATATTCACATTCTTATCTTATGTTGATACTCGTATTTCACTAATTAGTAACTACATCACACAAGTTATGCTTTTATGCTTCAGGAATTGTTTGGGAGAACTATTAGGGTGGAGTTTGCAAAGAGTCTAAAGAAGCCTCGACCACAACCTCCTGCAGTTCAACCTGTTAAAGAGACAGTATATAAACTTTATGTATCCAATCTCCAATGGAAAGTGAGATCCACTGACCTCAAAGAATTCTTTTCATCTGATTTCACTCCTGTTTCAACTAGGGTTGTTTTTGAGAGTACTCCATTTTTAAGATCTGCTGGTTATGGTTTTGTCTCGTTTAACACAAGGGAAGATGCAGAGGCTGCACTCACTTCTTTGGATGGGAAGGTAAATTATTTGTTCTGCTCTTGACCCTAATACGCCCTCTGTTTTAAATTAACAGTCATAGTACAAAGTTTTTGATTTTTAGGCTTTTTTTTTGTTTTCTTTTTCTGTCCATCAGATTTGTTAGATTCTTCCATTATATTGCCTGCGATGAATTTCAACCTGCATTGTGCCACTGTGATGCTCTTGGACTTCAGCTCTCCATTTGAGGCAAGTCAAGCAAGAGCATTTAACCATAATGAAGGCTGAAATGAATTTTAAGGCCAAAACCTTTTGCTTCTAGCAGCATGTGGCCGTGAAAATTTTTGATGTGCCTAAATCCAATGCTTTCATCGATTCATTGTAGTCCAATGCCATGCAATACGGAGGAATTAAGGGACTAGTAGCATCTTTTTTTTTTAATTTTTTTTTATTTAAGGAAATACGAGTGCAGATTGTTGCTATTTTTAAGCAATATAACAACTTTTTCTAGGCATCGCAACATAGTAAGAGTGATTATATATCTTCGGGGGCTTATGTTTGGGAAGCCAATCATAATAGGCTAATAGCCATTTGAAGCTATTTTTGTCATGCCTGGCTTGTTTCCGGAAATATATGAATAAAGTTGCATGTATCTATAGTTCTATACTCTATAGCCAGCTTCTTCCGATCCGCACTCCCCTTTTTTTTGGTGTACTTGATCAACTTTACCCCAGCGCTCAATTTTTTTTTATCTATAAACATGCAACAATGTTTATAGCTTTTGATGTTGAAGTAGTTTCAAGCTGCTTTTCTGCAAATTAAAATTTGATAAATTAGAATTTCATGTAGGAGCTAATGGGTCGTCCAGTACGCCTAAAATTCAGTGAGCGGAATAGTGATGGTGATGCTACAAATGAAGGAGAAGAAACAAATTTGGATGAATCTTCAGCTGTGCTTGGTGAAAAAGAACTATCCGAAGATCAGTCTGACAAGTCATAGAGAGAAAAATCTTCCACTTGGGCATGCTTGAACATTTGCGAAAAGAAAACCTTTTCTCCTTTTGAAGTCGAGATATGCAGTCGTGTTCACTGAGATCTGGTCTGTACATTTTTGCTCTATTCCATTATTTTTCTGTAGTAGATGCTTATGCAATCTATGTCATAATCTTTTATAACTCATACGCATTACCTTATATAAACCTAGTGTAGAACCTGTAATTGCATCCCAACTTTTCATAGGTATACAAGATATGTATAATTTTCTATTTATACAGACTTGTTGGGACTTGCAAGAAACACCGAATTTTCTGTATCCTCCTAAAGTCCTTATATTCATATGGGCAACGTTAGTCGGTTAGCCCTTATTCCAGAAATTGTAACTTGTTTTGCTTTCCTTAATCTAGTTCACTTCAGGATATAATTATTGTATGGCCAAGTGAGCATTTCCTATGTCTATGTACTCTATCTTAACTCTAGCAGATAGAACTATGGAAAATACATTTGTGGGGGATCAGGAATCTCACACTGCAGATTAGACTCGTAAATTCACGCACGCCTTTGTAGCTAGAAGTGACGAACGTGTCGTTGGGATCAAGTCATATTTAGGTAATGAGTAATTCGATTTGTTTTAGGTACTCAGAAGTGTACTGTCAAGTAGCTTATTATGGAGTTTAGAGTTCCCTATCTCTTGTTCTAATGTGTGTTGCCATTAATTACGTCGAGATGATTGTACTACCTATCGTTTATGAGGCGAAATTGTCGGTGACGTCTATGGCTCTTGGGTGAGGTTTTGTTACGGGCAACAATAACTATACTCAACCACATTCTTGGGTTTTTTTCTGGCATCCTTATCATTTCGCATTGAAATATATGGTTATCATGCTTATTAAATGTCTACTTTCCAACTATACTACATTAATGTGCAAGGCAGTTGTACCCTCGTGAGCTCTTCATCTCTCTCTTTCAGCTTCTCAGTTATGGTATATTATTTGATTAGACAATGTTTGCTTACATAAGTCTTTGGTGAAACCGTGTCACTAATTTTCTATTATGACGCATAAAATTAGCTTAAAGAAAGGTAAAAATATCACAATAGCGAGCTTATTCAAGTTATTTTAAATCGTCTCATACTAAAATTCTACTTGTGTAACCACTTTTAAAGTTTTGCGTATGCCTAACCATGTCACCATGTGGGCGTTATGTGGTAAACACGATTGGACAAAATTGTCTTTTTTTTTGTTGTTGAAGTTTTTAGAAGGCCATTAAAAAAAAAAAAAAAAATAAAAATAAAAATAAATAAATAATAATAATAATAATAATAATAATAATAATAATAATAATAATAATAATAATAATAATAATAATAATAATAATAATAATAATAATCGTATAAGAACACATTTTCTTTTGAACGAGCGTTCTTACTTAAGTTATACAAGTACTATTTTATTTTTTTTATTGACATTTTATTGGGCTCATTTTAATTTTATAAACTAGTGTGTGGCCCGTGTGATGCCTCGCGTTGCTAGTTTGTACTTCTTTAATTTGATAATTATGTTCGACTGTTTGTATAGTTAGTGTGTAGTCTAGACGTTGCCTCAGGTGTCACTTTTTTTTTTTTTTTTTTTTAAACCTCATTGGTATTTATTTTCTAATCTTGTGAAAAATAAATAAATTATATAACCTCTAATTTAGTTAATAAATGAAAGGAATATATAATGTTATGTGAAATTTAAAACATTAATTAAAGTTGGTTGAGATGGTAAATGTATTACCTTTATGTGTCGAAGATTACGGGTTCGAATCTAGCTCAAAGCATAATAATGAAAAAACGGAGAAAATGATAAAATTCATTGATTACTGACAAATTATTAACTCACTTGGTAAGTTTCTTACATTTGATCGTAGAGGTCTGGGGTTCGATTCCTACCAAGTGAGGGTGTTTTGGAGTAGACATTCTTTTACCCTCCCCTCTACTCCCAAGTGCCTGACCTGCAGATACTGGACTAAAAAAGCGTGAGGGTTGAGGTTTGATCAGGGTCTTTCTTATCAATTAAAAAATAAAAAATATTAATTTAATATACATAAGCTTTAATTTAAGAAAATTAGTTATAAAATGTAAAAATTACTAGTAGATGTAATTGATAAAATTTACTTATAGTAAAAAGAAACTAATTAATAGATAACTCGATTCAATCGGTTATGTTCAGTTATAATCAGCAATAATTGTATTCGTCAAATTATAAATAGTGATTTAGGTGAGTCAATTAACATTGACAAACAACACTAGTAGAAAAATAGAAATGAGCATCGAAGAATGAGCACCGGTTTTTAAAAACCGGTGGGCAAAAATACAATGGCACCGGTTAACTGATGCTTTTTGTTTTAGAAAATGAAAACCAAAAAAAGAAAAAGAAATGGCACCGGTTAATCGATGCCCCTTTAATTTTATAAACCCTATATACCCCTCTCTCTCTCATCCGCCTCTCTATGTCATGCTCTCCTTCTCTCTCATCTCTCGTTCTTCTCTCCTTCTCTCTCATCTCTCGTTCTTCTCTCCTTCTCTCTCATCTCTCGTTCTTCTCTGATCTCTCATTCTTCTTCCTCATCTCTCGTTGTTCTCTCATCTTCTTCTTCCTCATCTCTTGTTGTTCTCTCATCTCTCATTCTTCTTCCTCTTCTCAACAACCATCGGCCTTAGTCGAAGTTTCGAAACCAAGCACAACAACCATCGCCGTCGCCGCCGTTAATTATCCGAACCATGCAAGCATCAACCACCGTCATCAGAACCAAGCACAACCACAACCACAACAAACTTAAATGAATTTTCGATTAGAAAATCAGAAATTTGAGGTTAGGGTTTCTGGGTTCTTTAGCTTTGCGTTTTGGTTCAATTATTCATGTTAAATTGCCATGATTTTTTTTTGGTTTAATTGATGTAGTATGATCGAAGTTGCGGGTTTCTGGGGTTTTTTAGGGTTTCTAGGTTCTGGGGTTTTTTGGGTTTCTTTGGGGTTTTTTCGGTTTATGGGTTCTGGGTTTTTTTGGGTTTTTTTCGGTTTCTGGGTTCTGGGTTTTTTCTGGGTCCTGGGTTTTTCTGGGTTTCTTTGGGTATTTTTTTTGGGTTTTTTGGGTTTTTCTGGGTTTCTGGGTTCTGGGTTTTTTATAGGTTCGAAGTTTCTGGGTTCTGGGTTTTTCTTTGTTCTGAGTATTATAATTACTAGATCGTTCTGGGTTCTGGGTTTTTCTTTGTTCTAGGTTTCTACTAGATCGTTACAATTTTTTGGTTTTTATTGTGGGTTTTATTAATTTTGGTGTTTCAATTGATGCAGGTAGTATTCCTTCAGAATTTTTTTTTGATGCAGGTAGTAGTTTACGACTCCACATAGAAGAAGGATTCAAGATGTAGATTTTGGTGTTTTGTTGTTCATTGTTGCAGTTTTTTTTTTTAATAAATTGTAAAATAACAATTTTTTAGATGAATATATATGTGATCAATGTATATTACGATTTTGGTGTTTTGTTGTTCATTGTCTGCTGACTTTTAAGTGAAAAAATGCATTTTTTTTAAAAGGCATAATGGGCACCGGTTAACCGGTGCTAGTAACCACAAATTCGCATCGGTTAACCGGTGCTATTAAATAATATTACCACCGGTTTTGAACCGGTGCGACTTTCTTCTATTTTTCGCATCCCTCAAATGAGCACCGGTTTAAAACCGGTGCGAAAAGCCGGTTTTGAACCGATGCTCATTTCTATTTTTCTACTAGTGCAAACTCGTGTAAATGACAAAATGTCAACCAACGCTTTAATGATAAACACCCATAGAGATTAGAGGTACTTAAGAATCATCACAATTCAGACAAAGAAGGTCAAGAACACATCAAATTACCAAGCTAGAAAAGTACTCGTATTAGCCTATTAGGTAATATTCCTACAACTACCTACATTAAAATCAACACATCACAGTGATTATGCTATAACCTAGTGTATGGCCCGGGTAATTGTTTGTATAGTTAGTGTGTGGTTTGAGCGTTATCTCAGGTGTCACTTTTTTTTTTTTTTTTTTTTTTTTTTTTTTTTTATGTTTGTATTTATTTTCTAATCTTATGAAAAATAAATAAATTATATAACCTCTAATTTATCTAATAAATGAAAGGAATATAAAATGATATGTGACATTTAAAACATTAATTAAAGTTGGTTGAGATGATTAATGTATTACCTTTATGTGTTGGAGGTTACGAGTTATGATCATCTCAATAAGTACTACTACAATATATAAATTTTATAATATTTACCTATAGAGAATTAAAGTTATTAATGATTAAAGATTTAAAGGTCAAGTAATAAAGAACAAAGAAAGTAGTATAGATAAGTATTTCTCTAGCTCATCCATTCTCTTTTTCCCTTTTTTTTTTGGGTAATATTGCCGACTGAGTCTTCCCAATTACATATTGCCTAAAAGGCTAAAACTCCTAAAAGCTTAATATCACTATACTTTAGTGCGTGATTAGCCTCTTTTGCCTAATTGATACTATTGATTGGCGCTTTTTCTTGTCCTAGACAAGAACTAAAGATTAATTATGTAAGATAAGAAATAAAGTGAAGGAATATAACATCTAACTAGAAGAAATAGATCAATGTATTTATTTTGAGATTATGCAAGAATCATGTTGATCATTTGGTGTCAGTTTCAACCTAAAATCAATCTTTTTGACGTGGAGAAATTTGTGATTCTCTAGTATTGTCTATATAATAACATCATTATGACCTACACAAATTACAAGATAATGACTTTGTTTTTGTTTTTATAAATTGACTAGTTCATGAACGTAATAGCTAAAATGGTCCAATTTTTAAACCCACGAATTGAGCAAGTATGCACAAGTTTTGGATGGTTTTTAAGATTCAACTAATTTTGATGGAGATAGGACAAATTAAAGAGTGATTAATTGATTTTTAGCGGTATTTATTTCATCTTGGTTACCATGCATCTCCCATCTTCACTTAATTTCTTCTTTCATCATCTTTCTATTATAAGATTCATTAAGTAATTTACATTTGATGCTTTTTGATCACAACATTTGTACATTTCCTAGATTTTTCGGCTTATGTTTATCCCAAACGATCGATAGGTTTAAAAAGGGAATTTATTTATTTTATTTCTAGTTGTTAAAGGAAATTTTCATGGTAGAATTACTATATGTATTTTGTGTTTATTACATATGGCTAGATAATTCAATATGTTGAACGATTTTTCCATTTGCTCTCAGCTTCTCTATGCCCATTTACATACGGTTAAAGTTTCTCTATGCCCATTTGCAGATTGCTAGGTAATTCGTGTGGGTACAAAGCATGATCGCGGGCCTAGTATGGACTTCAAGTACTCCAACTTAGCTTGAATAAAGTTTGCTCGTAAGTGTCTC